CTTTCTTTTTACGACAGAATTATAACTAAATGTTCTTTGGAACGTTTTCTTTCTATCTGCGGTGAGAAAATGTCTAAAGACTTTTTAAAGTTGTGTAAGCTTATATCAAGTTTACCTGATTCTTGGTCAGATCAAATTGTCTCAAATCTTACAAACGTGCATAAACTACATAGCCGCATAAACTACACTCGACTTCTTTAAATTAGATATAAAAAACAAACATCAAACACAATAATTACTGAGGCTTACCATTCGAGATGCAGCTCCTGAAAGGTATCAAGTAAGGCCAGTATCGCTTCAGAGTTTTCAACCTTTACGCATCAAGCAAGGTGAAAAACAAAAACGTTGACATCCGAAATCGGATTCCCGACTTTGACAAGTGATGTATTAATTTCTCAACCAAAAACCAACTAACCATGAATAACAGAAGGCTCCTGATAGCAGCTAAATTTCATTTTGTGCATCCAGTGAAAAAAGACAGTTAAAAACATCACAAGTTGACACAAAACTCTCTCAGCTTCAGCTGTCAAAGTAAACAAGATTCAAGATGCTGCATAAATTTTCCGCATGAGCTCACCTGTCAAATTTTGACCAATAAGAGCATAAAAAATGGACGTAGAGCGTGACCAACGCGTGACCATGGTGAGCAAAGTCAAAAGCAACTGTCTTGCCTGTGATAGCTGGCTGAATTTTCGGGTCCGAGGTCAGTTTTAAATCAAAATTTTAATTGTGCGGCCCAAAAACAAAACATTTTCATATGAATGAAAAAAAAATCAAACTTGAGCCTGCGATCATTTGAAAACTAGAAACTTGTCAGCGGATAACTTCAAAAAAATACTTGACCTCGATGGGTTAACACCTGAGCCCGCGATACGGTCAAGTGATACTGGTCAGCGGATACCCTGTTTTGACAGCTGTCAATTGATCAAAACATTGATGTCTAATGGATGTGTGCATTATCAGTTTTCCTGTGCTCACAAACTAGCTAGAAAGTATGAGATTGAATATTGATCGCGATCTAGTAAAACAACTGGTCAGCGGACAGCTTCCAAATAACTCACGTCACCTTGATGAGTTGACACATGAGCCCCCGATATGGCAATGTGATACTGGTCAGTGGCTATCCTGTTTTGACAGCTGTCAATTGACCATATCGTGAATGGCCAATGTAAAAGATGTGGATTTGCTAAGACACGCCTGAGACACCCCTCCCTTCCTTTTGATGGTCTCCCCTACCCTACCCGTACAATCTGTAGACGCGTACGTACGTACGTACGTACGCTCGGTCAGTCACGTGACAACCAAAAGAAAAGAGGTTGACCATATTCCATGAGTATGGGGCTCTGTCCCACGCGCGCTTCGCGCGCGAGGGAGCCCCGCTATAAATTGCTCTAAACTTTGCTCTGACGTCGAATGACTTGTTCCTCGATATTTTTAAAATATCTCTTGGCAGTTTTGGTTCAAACTCCTGCTACATACATTTTGATGTATTGCAATTCATCCTCAACGGCTTTTCCTGCTGCTCCAATTCAGGAAAAAGGTATTGGGATTGTAAGCTACCTTGTATCGAAGCTCAGATAGAACTATTCAGCACCTTTGTTTATGACCAGAAAATGAGCACGAGCGGCAGCTCTGCGAGGAATTCGCACCTCAGCCAGGGGGGCGAATGACAATGATGCCCATGTCTGTGAACCGATCTTTATAAACATGTATTGCAGAGCAAAACATAATAATCAAGAAAAAAATACCCATTCATTGAAGAAAGGAGTGACAAAAATTTCAGAGTTGTAAATTTATTCACGGGCAGTATTTTTGCGATAACTTTATTTTGCACTGTGATGTTATTCGGTTCACAGGCATGGTCATCATTGTCGTTTGTCCCCCCTGGGTGAGGTGAGAATTCCTCGCAGAACTGCCGCTCGTGCTCATTTTGTAGTCATAAACAAAGGTGCTGGACAGTTCTATCTGAGCTCTGATACAAGGTAGCGTCCAATCTCAATACTTTTTTTCTGAGTTGGAAGCAACAAACAGCAGTCAAAGTCGCTGAAAATGCATTGCAATACATCAAAATGTATGCAGCAGGAGTTTGAGCCAAAACTGCCAAGGGATATTTTAAAACTGTCGAAGAACAAGTAATTCTACTTCAGAGCAAGGTTTGGAGCAATTTATAGTGCTTCTAAAACTAAAAAGTACCTTTTAAAGAATAGCACGATAGGCAATCGGCTTTTGTTTTAAGAATTAGCAAACGTTGAATTTAC